AGGTTTACTAGAATCAAAACGTAACCCTTGAGGTGCTCTACCTTTTTCCCAAAGACACTAGGGTAGAGAAACCAATAGATCTAAATGAAAATGTAGAGAGAGTGTGAGTTTTAGAGAGAGAGAGAGAGACTCAAGATCTAGGATTTTGAAATGTTTTAGAGAAGGAAAGAGATTAAAAATTGGCTGTTACGAACTGATATATGCACAGTCTGCTTAAGCGTGAGAAGTGATGCTTGAGCGTCAAACACGATAAGTTGTTCTGCTCGAGCAGAGAATATACATATCCAGTAGTTTTGCAAACAAAAGAATATAGTTTGAGCGCAAGAATGGCCGCTCAAGCACACGCCCGCTCGAGCGTAGGAAATGCCGCTCGAGCGTAGAATACTCTCTCCTAGTAATTTTGCAAGCCTGCAAAAGTACTAAGAGTTCACAAAACCCACTCGAGCACAAAAAGTACCGCTCGAGTGAAGGAGCAAAATTCTGGGCAACAAGTGTTTGGAAACTCGGCAACCAACCTGTCCCAAACGCAACCACAACAATCAAATAGCCAAATTTAGGATATACAAGGGAAACAAGATGTGACAACAATATGAAACCATGAAACTCGAGGCTGGGATACAACAAGCACTACAACAAAATGCACATTCGGCGACCAAAATTGGCGACTAAAAAAAATTTAGTCGCCAAAAGTTATGAAATTGGCGACCAACTAATTTTTTTAGTCGCCAAAAGTAAAATATTTAGCTACTAATTTTTTTTAGTCGGGGTATATTGGTTTTTGGCGACTAAAAAAAATTTTAGTCGCTAAAAATGCTAGAATTGGCGACCAAAAAATTTTTTAGTCTCCGTATATTAAGTTTTGGCTACTAAAATCATTTTGTCGCCGAAAGAAAAATAAAAAATTAATTTTTACCTTTGGCGACCACAAACGTTCATTTTCAGCAACAAAAAGAATCTTTGTCGCTGTATGTTGACTTTTGGCTACTAAACCACTTAGTCGCCGATTGAAAATTAAAAAATTATTTTTTTACCTTTGGCGACCAAAATTTTAGTCGCCAAAAGTTTTTTTTCAGCAACAAAAACAAATTTTAGTCGCCAAAAAGAATTTTATTGTTATTTGGCCACCAAAAATATATTTAGTTGTGAAAGGTTGAAATATTTGTTTTAGAGGGAAACAAATTATTTTTGGCGCCCGTTCTATTTACACTCTGTTTTGTCTCTCACACACACAGACACACGATATACACTTCTGTGTCAAACACTAGCAAACCTCACCCTCATCATCCCTGCTAACAGTTACCATCAAACTTCCACCACCGACCATCGCGGCTCTCGCTACCGCCGCTGACCATCACGGCTCTCGCCACCGTCGCTCACCATCGCGGCCCCCCTCCCAGCCACATTCAGGTTTCTCTCTCTCTCTCTCTCTCTCTCTCTCTCTCTTCCTCTATTTCCCCATTTCACCATCTCCGATCTAGGGTTTTATTAGGTAGATAGCAATTGATTTAAGGTACTGAACAATTTAAGAATATTATTAGTAGGTAAGTTAATGGAAAATTTTAGGACTCAATTCGGTGAAGTCCTCTTCGCTTAATAGGATTGAAATTTGCTCTGTATTCTACTTATGGGTTTTGATTTTTTTATTATTTTTTGAGTTTTATATTTCAAATCCTACTCAATTTAAGCAAATGGGTTTCAATTTGATTTTTTTTATTATAAAAAAATGGTCTTGCTTTGATTTGGTGGAGGTAATGATTTTTGTGATCCTAATAGCTATTCGTGCTCATGATTGAATGATTTTGAGTTTTTTATGCATAACAAAAGCTGAGTCACTGTGAAATCTCATCCTCCTTTTTGTTTTCTGAATTTGAATTTGAGGGCTTAGTTGTGTGTAAGTATTTACGTTCACAGAGATGTAATGAATTTGAATAATAAATGATGTTTCCTTAGCTGGGTAGAATCTGATAGGTGGTTTCATTTTCTTTGAATTTTTATATCCATATTTTGTTTGTCTTTTTTTCTTTTTCATATATTAAACCATACTCAATTCAAGCAACTGGGTTAGAATTGAATTAGATTTTTTTTTTCTCAATTAGCTTGGTTTGAATTATTATTATTATTTTTTTTGGTGGTTGGTAATTTCTGATGCTCTCACTGATTCTATTAGAAGTAATGAATGGTGTTGGTGTTAATTTATTTGTTTTATTGTGTGCATAATTCATTCATTTTTAACATACTGAATTGATTTAAAATTCGTGTGTGCAATGAAAACCTAGCTCATTTCTGATTAAGAAAAAGAAAAGAAAAGAAAAGAAGAAACTTGTGGCACCATCGGAAAATTTTAATGGATGGTGGAACCATGTGTTATCACAAATTATCCTGGTGATTTGGTTGGCAATAACATTATCAACAATAGAATCTTGTCCTTTTTGTTTGGTGAATTTGATTTTGAGGGATGTTACTTAGTTGTGTCCAAGTGTTTAGGTATTGCCATCATTTGTTTTGGAATGTCTGATTTTCTTAATTCAAGATTTTTTTAATATTATTATTGAATTCATGTTAAATTTTTTGTGTGCATAAAAAGTTTGGGTAATTTTTGATTAAGAAAGATAAAAAATAAAATCTGCGGGTATGTGGCATCATGGGAATCATTTTTGATTAAGAAAGATAAACTTTTGTTGCTCGATAGCATGAACTCTTGCCATGGCACTAGGCAATTATTAGTTGAAGTACATGTAGAAGTAATCTTTGGCAAATTTATGGAATCTACAATTTTGCTTCCAGCTAACTATTAATTTGAAGCTGTCTTGGTGAAATAATTCATGCTGATATGGGAAGAGATGAATGCTTGTACTTTGTCATGTACTGTTACTTTCAAACTGCATTTAGTAGTTTAAATTATGTGAGATGGAAAATCTATGGAAAATCTATGCCAGAAAAGTGAAATAGAGTTGCAGTTGCAAGAGTGATGACGCATTAATTATGTTGTCATTGTATTTCTTTATGTGTGCTCTAGAAAGTGGGTTTAGAAAATGATATAGATGATCATTTTCTAAACCCACTTTCTATATCATTTCCTTATTTTATTTTGTTTTATTTTACAGGGATTGAAGTCAAACCTGGCTCACCACACACTTGCCAACTTGATCCGAGAGTAAAGCTTCACATATCTCAGGTTTATTTTCCTTTCTCAAACTAATGCCTCTTTCCTGGATTCAACCATATATAGTCAACAAAACTCTAGTTTTAGATCCCAAATTTCTCAAGGTTTTATTTATTTTTGTAGAAATTTAATGTATAAAGAGAAATGATTCTATTATTGATTGTTGTATGTTATTAATTACAAATGGTGAGGGGCTCCTTATATAGGAGATGTAGTGGAGTAGGTGGTAGTAGGTGGTAGTAGGTGGTGGTAGGTGTAGTAGGTGATGGTAGGTTTTAACAGCCCCCCGCAAACTCAAGGGGGATAGGAACTAACCAACTTGAGTTTGGAGAGAGTAACAAAACAAGAAAATAATCTGAAAAATAAAAAATGGATAGGAGACACTGTATGGTCGTGTCAGACCGTTGTAGAAGACTGTATGGTTATGGCAGACCGATGTAGAAGACATTAGGCTTGATGCTTGAGGGAATGGGTTAGGTTTGGGTTAGGCCGAATTGGTGGTCCACCAACCTAATCTTTTTGGGCCAAGCCTGCTGCAGATATACACACTTGTGTATACAGATGTTTTCTCTCATTAGTTTTGGTCCATTACTCCAGCAGTTTTGCAGAAGTAATGGCCATTAGTTGTCAGCCTTCATGGGCATTAGTTGCTAACCTTTATGGCTAGAAGCTCCTCCTCTCTCTCCCCCATGGTGTATAAAAGAAGGCCCATCTCCCTTGGTTTTGGAACATAATTTTTGCTTTCCAGATATACAGTTAGTTTGCTTCCCCCTATAATTTTCTTCTTGTGTTGGGAGAGTGCTGCCATTGTCGGTCCGCTAAAGCTAACAGAAGGTGTTTCTGCGTTAGCCGGTCCAACTATCTTATCTTAGGAGACAGAAGTCGACGTCCCTCCAGTACCCACGGTGAGGCGACTAATTTGTTTTAAGGACATTATGGTATCATACAGAATTTGGTTTGATTCCGTGTTTTAATATTTCGATTAAATATATATTTCTGTTAATCATGTTTCATGTTTCATGCTCTAAAATGTAATTTATCAAATATGGATTTATTTGATATTCTATTATTTAATTTAATAAATTATGAATCTATTTAACTTGATTAATTACACAATTTGAATAATAATCTTAAAACAGATTATACTATGTCTCATGAAAATATTAAATAGATTCTTATGTCATTTTTATCAATTAGTCCACTGTTGCATTATATTGTTACGGGTGTGAAGGTCAGTCTGTTTAGTAGGTCTATTGAATAAAAATAGCATGCTACTTGCTTATTCTTTTACTGTATAGGCCACTGTTATTATAGCGCATGATTATAGTCAATATGTTGTGAATATTGCTGTGTTGATCTTCATGTGCATAAGTAAATATAGTATTGTATTGCTATGTTAATTCCCTTGGAGTGTAATCACCCGCGGTTTTTTAAATTTAAACAAGAGTCCACTGTGTAAAACATGAACTCATGATTTTATATGATAAAATAATGAGCAATGATATATCCCTCTAATTTTGGAGCTCTAATTGAATTCTAATGATGTGGTAGAGAATAAAAAAAAATTAAAAAATAAAGTGAAAGAAAAATAAAAAACAAAAGAAAGAAATAATAATAATATGTTTGACACCATAATAATAATAATAATAATAATAATAATAATATGTTTAAAAAGTGGGGCGGTGGAAAATGATGATTTTGGGTGTGAATAAAATATTTGATGTGTCTATGGAGGTGGAGTACCCACGTGGAATATCTTGGGGCATGTGGGGTGATTATTAGAGAGAGAGAGTGACAGTGTGTGTAAATTGGACTTTGTTGTTTTAGAGAGAGAGACCGTGGGTTTGGTCTCACCAAAAATCAGAAATATTGAGAGAGAGAGAGAGAGAGAGAGAAAGAGAGATGGGAGTGGTGATAATAGACGGCTCGACGGTCCGATCCTTCGTGGAAGACGAAGAACAGTTCAAGAATAGCGTGGACGAGCGTTTCGCAGCCGTAGATCTGAACAGCGACGGCGTTTTGTCTCGATTGGAGCTTCGTAAGGCGTTCGAGTCGTCTCGACTTATAGAGACTCACTTCGGCGTGGACGTGGCTACGCCGCCGGAGGAGCTGACGAAGCTATACGACTCCATCTTTGACAAGTTCGACTGCGACAAGAGTGGTACGATCGATCTAGAGGAGTTCCGATCGGAGATGAAGAAGATCATGCTTGCCATTGCCGATGGTCTCGGTTCCTCTCCCATCCAGATGGCTCTCGAGGATTGTTGTTGTTGTTGGAACTGATTTCGAACCACAGCTTTATGTGATGGAGAGAAAACTGCTGGAGGTGCAACCTGATCGGAAAATCGATTAGATGAGACCTCTGTGGAGAAAAGCTCATCCAGGATTGAAGGGGTCAGGGTTTTTGACCGAATGGGAAACTTTCTGAGATGTGTTGGCGAGAAGCACGACATGTCATTTAGGAGCTGCTGTTGCTGAACTTCAAAATCTAGCAGCATATTGAGCTCCTCGGTGGGAATGTCCCTGGCATTAAAAGATGATCTCAGACGACTTGGCTGGAGATTGCTTCCAGGAAGATGTAAAGTAGGGATGTTTGGCTGTGGCCAAGCAACAGACGGGTGCGAAATAGCATTTCCAGAAGGAGATATGGGTGTTGAGGGAGAACCAGGCAAAAGACTCAATGCCACAGCCATATTAGAAAGATTGATCTCAAGGTTTACCAGACCTACCCTGAGCTACTCAAGGCCTTGGAATTCATGTTCAAGTGCACTATTGGGTACAATGGATCTGAATATGCACCAACATATGAAGACAAAGATAGTGATTGGATGCTGGTTGGAGATGTCCCATGGGAGATGTTCATCACCTCTTGCAAAAGGATGAGAATCATGAGAGCATCAGAAGCTAAAGGCTTGGGATGTCTATAGAAAGAAAAGGAAACCCACAAAAAAGCGCAACTACACACAATGATGGGAAGGTATGTGTAGAAAATAAGCAGATTAGGTTGAGGTCCGGCGGGCGGCTAAGGTGAGGTTGCCGCCCGCCGGGGAAGCGAAAATATTAGGTTCTAAACCTGCTCTGATACCATGTAGAAATTTAATGTATAAAGAGAAATGATTGTATTATTGATTGTTGTATATTATTAATTACAAATGGTGAGGGGCTCCTTATATAGGAGATGTAGTGGAGTAGGTGGTAGTAGGTGGTAGTAGGTGGTGGTAGGTGTAGTAGGTGATGGTAGGTTTTAACAATTTAAAAAAAAAATTATGTATATATATGTTCCGATTTGATGGAATGTTTTGTAAAATACACCCAATTTTGACATAAAAACAAGGCCTATAAAAAAAATAAAAATCAATGTTTTACTATCTAATAAAAAAAAAACCAATATTTTAAAACTTAGATGTTATAGTTAATAAAATAGATAATCAATTGAGTTATCTCAATTGGCCTCTTTTGTTTACATTTTAACTGAATCGTAAGATTCACTCAATTTAAGGTTTAGTAGCATGAATTGAATTGTTTTGATTGAAACTTGGATTGAATCGTGAATCGTATGATTCTAACACTCATATATATGTGGCTATTAGAGTCGTTTGATTGCCAAAAAAAAGGTGGGGGAGGATAATAAAATGATATGTTGAATAATTGAACTATAAGATTTTGATTGTATTTGGTCCTAGTTATTATAAGACTTCAATTGGTACAACACAATAAACAACTTGGAGAGCTGAACTTCCCATTGCTTAAGAGGAAAAAAAAAATCTACAGAAAACACAGGACTAAAAATTATAGGCAATTTTGCCACAATTTGGTGGCATAACAATAACACCTACATGTTGTCATTTTTACCTTTCTGGAAAGAATTTGATGCATAGGAGAACCCTTCCTACTCTAGAGCTTAACAATCAGAAATCAAGCCCAAAAATATAAGATTTTTTAATTTTTTATTTGTATTAATTCAAAGCCCATTATGAGAGGATCCTTCACTGGAATGCATTTACAGCACTATAAACAACTTGGCAATGTTGAATTTTCCATTGTTTGAGAAGAAAAAAAAAACTATAGAAAACACAGGACTAAAATTATAGGTAGTCTTGCCACAATTTGTTGCCTATAACACCTACCTGTTGTCAGTTTTATTTGTTTGTCAGGGATGATGTAGTGACAGTCATTGATGTTTAGGTTGGAAAGTAACACTGCTGGAGTCCATAAGCAAGCGTTGTGTATTCTTGGAGTATGCTGTTGATCTTACTGGTTTGTCAAATGTTCAAGTTGTAAGAGAAAGAGCTAAGGTATGATTTTCCTCTTTTTATTTGAAATTGTTGATGCAGTAAGATTGTGAATACCTAAATATCTAATCCTTTTGTGCTTTTTTTACTTGTTTGTATGGTGCATTTTCGTCCTGAAGTAATGTACTAGATTTTTAATTTTTATAATATTCGTTGGTTACTAATCCTAATAGTAGAATTTATCAAAATATTGTCTGTCACTAAAACAATTGTCCTTCATAGCAATTCAGGACCTGATGCCTGTGCTCAGCAGTCAACTTATATGTTATCACTGTAATTCATAGCCACTAGCTCTATTCCTATGCACTAGAGGTCCTACCTTGTCTTGACAAGGATAACAAAAGAGACTGTCTAGAAGGCTTGTGCAAATATTGTGTTAAGGATATGTTATTTATCAAAATTTTGTCGAAAAATGGCGTTTTAGGGGTGAAAATTCAAAACAACCCTTGATTCGCATTGTGGCCGACACGAACAACTTCCCCATGCCAAATATGACTTGTGAGAACTGACAGAATGTTATTCGGACCCATAGGTTAGGATTTAGAGACGAATACACCAAAACTTAGTCGAAAAAGGGCGTTTCAGGGGCGAAAATTGAAAACAGCCCCCGAACCGCCGTGTGGTTGACACGAACACCTTCCCCATGCCAAATAGGACTTGTGACAAATGACGGAATGTTATTCGGACCCGTAGGTTGGGATGTAGAGACGAATACGCTCAAAACTTAGTCGAAAAACGGCGTTTCAGGGGCGAAAATTCAAAACAACCCTTGATCCACATTGTGGCCGACATGAACAGCTTTTCCATGCCAAATATGACTTGTGACAACTGACGGAATGTTATTCGGACCCATAGGTTGGGATTTAAAGACGAATACGCCAAAATTTAGTCGAAAAAGGGCATTTTGGGGGCGAAAATTGAAAACAGCCCCCGAACCACCGTGTGGCCGACATGAACACCTTTCCCATGCCAAATAGGACTTTTGAAAAATGACGGAATGTTATTCGGACCCATAGGTTGGGATTTAGAGACGAATACGCCCAAAACTTAGTCGAAAAATGGCGTTTCGGGGGTAAAAATTCAAAACAGCCCTTGAACCGCCGTGTGACCGACACGAACAGCTTCCCCATGCCAAATATGACTTGTTACAACTGACGGAATGTTATTTGGACCCATATGTTGGGATTTAGAGCTGAATACGCCAAAAACTTAGTTGAAAAATGGCGTTTCGGAGGCGAAAATTGAAAACAACCCCCGAACCGCCATGTGGCTAACACGAACACCTTCCCCATGCCAAATAGGACTTATGACAAATGACGGAATGTTATTCGGACCCGTAGGTTGGGATTTAGAGACGAATAAGCCCAAAACTTAGTCGAAAAACGGCGTTTCGAGAGCGAAAATTCAAAACAGCCCTTGATCCGCATTGTGGTCGACACAAACAGCTTCCCCATGCCAAATTTGACTTGTGACAACTGACGGAATGTTATTCGGATTCATAGGTTGAGAAAATGCAACTTGTAATATTGCATGGTTACAAATGCCAATACAAAACAAGGAATGCTGGGATCATATAAATGTTAGTCATAAATGAGGGAAAATATGTCACTTCATCTTCTCATTATGTGAATATTGTGTTAATGCTTACAAATTTTCTCAGTGCATATCGAATATCTAATTCTAGTGTCTGTCTGGATTAATTGGGGGTGAATTGAGATGATTCCCTGTTTACAAGTATCCCATACTTTTTTGGGTATTTTAAAAACAGACAGTTTAAATAGAAAATATATCCAAAATGATGTGTTAATGATATTTATAAAAATTATGGGGACAACTGTGAAAAATGTGTTGAAATCGATAACAAGTGTTTCATGTTCTTACTGTTTTTTTCCCCTCGTGTCCTGGTTGATTTTCTTCTTTTTTCTCATCTGAAACATGATGCGATGGTCTAAAACAACTGGTTAGCTAAATGTCATGATTATATTAATGAAAAAGTCCAGTCCAAGTATTGACAAAGAAAAAGCTCTTTATAATATCTTCCTAGCATCAGTATTTTTGTTAAATGTTTTATCAAGCTCAAGTTCAATTTTTTTATCAAGATCCCTCGATGGCACATGCAAGGTTACTTAATTATGTTAAATGTTTCATAATAATATCTTCCTAGCATGAGTATTTTTGTTTCTCGAAATGACTTATTTTCGTATTGTAGGTATGGGACCTTGTTACTGGAAGACTTTTACAAACTCGAGCTTTTCCACTACCAATTACTGCAATAGTTGTTGATCCAACAGAGATGAAGTTATTTTCTGGTGGTATAGATTACTAGTGGATATTTCTTTTTTGTATACGGGGGACATCATTTTTGTATGATTATCTGTTTGTATGGAATTATTATTTTGGGTTGGATTATATTTGGTTTCTATAGAATTTGATATTACAAAACCAAATTTTTGGATGGTTGAAAGTGAAATAAAAATAGACATATGTATTGTTTTGTTTATATACAAGGTGCAGGTTGTACGAAATAAATACAGGTTGTGCAGAAATTAATAATAATAATAATAATAATAATAATAATAATAATAATAATAATAATAATAACACTAAATAAAGTTTTTGGTGACTAAATGTTTAGTATCCAAAAAAACTAAATAAAACTTGTTGGCTACTAAAAATTTAGTAGCCAAAAACAAACCGAATATTTTTTGGCGACTAAAAATTTAGTAGTAAAAAATATATGAGACTTTAGGCGACTAAATAGTTTAGTAGCTAAAAAAAAATATGAAAATTCATTTTTTTTGGCTACTAAATATTTAGTAGCTAATAATAAATGATACTTTGGGCAACTAAAAGTTTTAGTCGCTGAAAATGAAAATTAATTTTATTTGAAAACTTTTGGCGACTAAATATTTAGTTGCCAATTTATGACTTTTGGCTACTAAAAAATATTTAGTCACCAATACCTCGTACTTTTCCCTACTAAAACATTAGTAGCCATTTATAGGGCTTTTGGCGACTAAATTTTTTTAGTCGCCAAAACCTTCCCCGACGGTTTTCCCACGACAAATCTAACGACCAAAATATTTAGTCGGGAAAAGGCTTTGGCGACTAAAAACCTTACTTTTGGCGACTAAAACTTTAGTCGCCAAAAGTGCATTTTCTTGTAGTGACGGGTCAGGTCAAAACCAGAATTGCTATACTCTCTCATTCTAAAGAGAAAATATTTCCCTTATTACATGGAGAAATCTCTTCTTTATTCTAAGGAGAAAATCTCTCCCGCATTCCATGGAAAAAATCTCAAAATATGAATTTTGAACCTTTTTATAATTGGAAATTTTTAAAAATAATGCAACAAAAACTCTAAATGAAAATCAAAATATAATGTGAATGTTCACAGTAAATAATAAACATACAACTAACTTTTGAAAAACAAAACATATACTAAAGTACAATGTGAATGTTCACAATAAATAACAAATACACAACTTACCTTCGAAAAAATAAAATTCATACCACAATAAAATGTGAATGTTCACAATTTATAATTAACATGCAACTAGCCTTAAAAAAAATAACTCACACCAATGAAAACATTTACACTGCAACGTGAAAACAAAAAAAAAAATTGAAAAAAAAATAAAAATCAACTATTTCAATTGTTCAATGGTAACAAAAATGATTGCTCAACTAAAAAGCATAGTAACAAAAACAACAAACATACAATTAACTTTTGAAAAAATAAAACTTATACCAAAATATAATGTGAATGTACACAATTTACAAATAATATACAACTAGTTTAAAAAAAATAAAAATAAACTTATACTAGTATGAACATTCACACTGCAACGTGAAAACTTAAAATAAAATTTTAAAAAAAAAAGAGTGAAAATTGACTATTTCGATTGTTCAATGGTAACAAAAATGCTTGTTCAACCAACAAGTATAAAAACAAAAAACAAAAAAATACAATTAACTTTCAAAACAACTTCAAAAAATAAAAAACTCATACCAAAATACAATGTGAATGTTCACAATTTATAATTAACATACAACTAACCTCAGAAAAACTAAATTCATACCAATATGAGCATTCACATTGCAACATGAAACAAAATTGAAAAAAAAATAAATATTTCAATTGTTTAATGATAACAAAAAATGATTGTTCGAACAACAAGTATAGCAACAAATAATCAATAATATGTGAACATTCACATCTTGCAAAATATATAATTATATCAATATCTATATTTCAACACTTATTTCTCAGACTTTCAAACAATGTGAAATATGATCATTCACACTAATTGACAAAAAAAATAGAAGCAATAGCAACAATATAACTAGAAATCCAAAAAAAAAACTCAATCACTTTAAAAACAAAAAAAATAAAAAATAAAAAAAATCACCCACATCTTCGTCTTCATCATCATCTTTATTATTATTACTATCATTAACAATCTATGCAATTTCACTATTCCACCAATTCAAATCAAACCAAACCCATATTTGAAGAATATGTTTGTAACAAAATTGACTAGACATAAATAGAGTTTCGACTTACAATAATGGGGAAACATAAAGCTTCGAATACAGAGTAACAATGGATGAACACAGAATTTCGAATGCAAAGTGACAATGGAGGAATACAAAACTTCACCGTAATAATGGAGAAACATAATATTATTTCACCACCATGTATAAACTAGAGTTTTAAACCCTACCAAATAGGGAGTTTTGAAACCCTAACACAATGAAACAATATCACAAATATGAATGAAACTGATTAAAAAGAAAAATGTGAATAATGGTAACTACCAAAATAGAAGTAGCAACAAAAAGGAAATGTATATATCCTTTTTTTGTGTAATACATATTAACAATAGACATAAGGACACAACATTCTAATTAGATTATAATTTTCCTTAATAGACTTATTGGATTAGAACACCTTTAAATAAGATCTATCAATAAAAAAACCCTTAAACAAATGCTATTAGGGCAATGTTTAATATGAAAGTTATATAAAAAGTATTTTGAAAATGGTGTTAAAGCTAGTGTAAAATTTGAAAAATTACCAAAAAATATTTTGCAGATGGTGAAAACTATATATGTATTTTTGTCTTTGTGTCGCAAGGCACTTCTTAAGAAAACATTTAAAATTAATGGTATTGATTGAAAAACTTGAGTTCACAAGAATTATAGTTACAAGTATGTAGAGGCTCTTTCCAACCACCTAATGATGTTATTTGGTGTAACTATTTTCAAGTGAAATATTGATAATTACAAAATAAAAGTAAAAAATAGCACATTTTTTCAACTTTTAGATAATATATTTTTTAAAAATTCTACTTAAACTATTTTTTCATTTTAAATTTTAGGTAGATACTGCACCAAATACTTTGATATAAAATTTAAAAGAAATAAAATTATAACTAATCTATCTATATTCTTATTATGGGTAAATTATAAACACACCCCCTGAGGTTTACTTAAATTACAAATTATCCCCTACAGTTCTAGAAATTATATTATGCCCCCTAAGATTTTTAATTTCATAACAAATAGATCCTTTTATTAATAAATCATCAGATTTATTAACAGTTTTTAATAATGTTAAAATTTTATTTCAATTAAGAATTTAGATAATTTTATTATTATATAGGTGAACAGATAGAAATTTTACTTTTTCAATTAATTCTGTTAAATAAAGAATTTAGATAAAAAAAAATTTATTATCAGATCGCGAAAATGACTTTTTACATCACTTTTTTATATCTTTTCTTCCAAAAATCCCAAAGTGAGACTCTCTCTCTCTCTCTCTTTCTCTCTTTCTCTCTCTCTCTCTCTCTCTCTCTCTACATTTACACCTAGATCTAGTGATCTCTACACCCATGTGCCTTTATTAAAAAGGCAGTGCGTCTCAAAAGCTTCATTTTGGTCTGATTGAAGTTTGATTTCGGTGTCTTTGAAGATTCTCCATCTCTTCCTTCGCTTTTCTAAGTTTGAGGTAAGGATATTCTATACCTTAATATGATTTTAGCCTAGTTATTTGTTGTTATGTATAAAAGATGGAATATTGAGGATATTTGTGGATGGACATAGGGCTTGGGTGTGGAATGAAAAAGGGGTTTTCAAATGTAATTGGTAATAATGGTTTGGGTGTAGATGTAAAGGATTGTTGTTGAAAAAGGGTTGATTTGGTCACTTGAGTTAATATTTGGAAGAATGAGAGTTGTGCCCTAGTTGGGTCAATTTGTGTTTTGTATAAATAGGCAAAATTGATTATGATAACATGGAATTGGATAGTTGTTGATACAAATGGTGGAGCCGGATACGCATTATCTCGCTCTTATGGAAACTTGAATAAATTATCTATCTTGAGATTGAATACCTACTTAGAAATATCTATATTGGGCTATCAGTAGAGGATAACTATGATAGTTGTAGAAATTGCATGAGGATTAGGTAAATTAAAACTAATCATTTAATTGTGTCTTTGAATATGACGGTATGCTAAGGCATTAAATATGTATAATTGATAGTCATTGAATATGACGATACTTTTAAATACATTGTATATGTATAATGTTTTGAGAGGAGAAAGGGATGTACTCCATGTTTTGGGAGGAGATAGGGGATGGACTCCATTGAAATTAAGTTGGCCGGAGTGTCTAGGGTGAAAGTCCTAAAATCACGTGTATACATAGGTGCCGATCCCGCGGACGAAATTTTCATAAAACGGCAAGATTGAAGTGCTTGTTTGATGATTGTGTTAATTGAGAACCGTTAAGTTGTAGTCTCAGTTGGGTTATTTGGAGGATTATAAACTAGTCCCATGAATTGAAATGAAATTAATTAACTTGAAATGAATAGATGTGAATGGATTGAGATGTGAATATCGGTACTGTATGATCATGTGGAGAATATATGTTTCGTCATGAATATTGAATATGCACTTGACACTTATATCTTCGTTAAACCTCATATATTTTGTTAGATTGTTTCTACTAGGCTTTGGCTCACCTTACTTGGGAAAAACGTTTTTAGATACCAGTGACATGCTTCCTCCAAAAACGTAGCTTGGGAGGACCTAGGAGTTGGAGGCTCTATTTTGTTATTTTGTGTTAAAATGTTTATTCAAGCCTAGGGCTTTATATGTAGAGAGCTTATGACTCTTTTTTGTTGTAACCAAGCAATGTCTTGGGAAGATGTACGCCCGTAGGGCATTTATTTTGTTGATCATTAACTGGTACTACATGCTATAAATGCAGGATGTATATTAATGAATATATATTGCATGTGTTATCTTTTGTAATACGAACGCTAATGAATGAAAGTGATTATTTCTATTATTCTTCTGT